TGTTCCTATCTCCCCGCAGCCCCTCCAACATTTGTTATTTCCAGTGTTTTTGATTTGTGCCAATAATGCCGGGGTGAGATGGTATCTCATTGTGGTTTTTATTTGCATTTTTCTAATGGCTAGTGATCATGAGCATTTCCTCATGTGTCTGTTGGCCATTTGAATGTCTTCTTTGGTGAAGTGTGAGTTAGAATTTTGTTCTACATTTTTCTCCAGCTCTGTCCAAGACCCTCTGTTGTAATTCCTGTCAGAGCAGTCAGTGGAGGCAGAGCATCTGGTTGTGCTTGACTCAGGCTTGTAGAGGCTGTGGTAGTTGTGGTCCATTAGTCCTTTGGACTAATCTTTCCCTGTGTCTTAATTTTCTTCATTCTCCCTTACTCCCAAAGGGGTGAGACCAATGGAGTGTCTTAGATGGACTCTCAGGAGCTTTTAAGACCCTCAATGCTACTCAGCAAACTAGGATGCAGAACAATTTCTTTATAGACTATGTTAGGCTGATTGAGCTAGATGTCCACTGAGACCATGGTCCCGGGCACAAATATTTGTTTAAAAGCTTCACAGGTAATTCTATTTAAGGTTGAGAAGGACTGTCTCACTGTATTCATTTATATATGATGAGACTGAGGCAGGAAATTAAGTGATAGTCTCAGGAATGAGAGTTCTAATTAATAACTAAACCAGGATAATAAGGAATACTCTTTTTTTCCCCCTAAAACAAGATTTTTAAATTACATCCCCAAGCACTGAGGATATAAGTATGAACAAGTCAGGCAATTGCTCACAGAGTTTATATTCTGGTGGAAAAAAACAGATAGTAAATGAGTACGTAAACAAACTAATTTTAGATACTAATATGTGCTTGAACAAAATAGGGTAATGTGACAGTGAAGGGGAGGTAAATGAGCGGGCAACTTTTCATAGTGTCATCAGAGAAGGCTTTTGGATTTATTAACATGAATAGAATCAAATTACACATTCTATTGGATAACCCGCCTTTATCATTCAACAACATATGAAAGCTATGTGTGTGTGCATATATAAATACACATAGGTATATACACACATATAAAACAACCACATCCATCTCCTCAAAACTATATCTCTAGCTACGAGCTGTCCTGATACATCCTCATTTACGCAACTCTCTATAACTCCTCTCGAATTTAACATAGCAAAAATTAAATTCTTGATTTTCCCTTCCAAAACTTGTTCCTTCTTGAATCTTCTCTAAAAATTCCAGTAGCTCAGGCCAAAAGCCTTGGGATTTTCCTTGATTCCTCTCTCTTCCTCACATATATAAACCCCACATTCAATCCATCAATAAAATTCCTTTTGCTCAAATGGTACAACCACTTTGGAAGATAGTCTGGCAGTTCCTTACAAAGCTACACACTGGCTGACCATATGACCAGCAGTCCTGCTCCTAGGTATTTACTCAAATTAGTTGAAATTTTATGCTCATACAAAAACTTGCACATGAATGTTTATAGCAGCTTTATTCAAAATTGTCAAAAATTGGAAGCACCAAGATGTCTTTCAATAGGTGAATGGATAAACCAACTGTGGTTCATTCATACAATAGAGTAATTATTCAGTGATAAAAAAGAAACATGGTAACAAACTACAGAAAGACATGGAGGACCCTGAGGTGTATACCACTAAGTGAAAAAAAAATCCAGTTTGAAAAAGCTATATACCGTTTGACTCCAAATATATGATATTCTGAAAAAGGCAAAATTATAGAAACAATAAAAAGATCAGTGGTTCCTAAGGGTTCAGGAACGGAGGAAGGATGAAAAGGTGAAGCACAGGGCATTTTAAAGGCAGTGAAACTATTCTGCATGATACTGTAATGGTGGATACATGACATCATGCATTTGTCAAAACCCATAGGACTGAACAACACAAAGAGTGAACCCTAATGCAAACTATAACCCACCCAACCCACTGACATGGAGTTGATTTCAACTCATAGCGATATACGGTTTCCAGTCTTTACGGAAGCAGACTGCCACATCCTTCTCCTGCGGAGCTGCTGGTAGTTTTAAAATGTAAAGTATGGACCTTAGTTAATAATAATGTATCAATATTGGTTCATCAGTCATAACAAATGTATGACGCTAATGCAAGATGTTAATAACGGGGGAAACTGTGTGCAAAGGGGAGGGGGGCATGTAGGAACTCTGTACTTTCTGCACACTTTTTCTGTAAACCTAAAACTTCTAAAAATAAAGCATATTTTTAAAAAATGTACAAGAAAAAAGCTTCAATACATAAATGCTCAATACAGGAAAACAGCATTAATTTATATTATGTGCTAGTCCCTGAAAAGTGCGAACGGTTAATGCACCCAGAGGTGCCTTAGAAGGAAGGTCTGGAGATCTACTTCTGAAAAACAGCCATTGATAACCCTATGGAGCACAGTTATACTCTGACATACACAGGGTCGCCATAAGTCAGAATCAGCTAGGTGGCAACTAGTTACGTGCCCCCCCTCCAAAAAAAAAGAACCAAGTTCAACAGATGAGCTCTATCATTAACTGCAACAGGCCACCCTAAGAAACAGTTTATAAAAGAAACCTAGATATTTGGCAAGTCCAAAGCGACCAGAACAACTTATCTTCAAAACTATCCTCTAGCTGAGAAAGCAGATTCACTGGACTCAGTAACTTGCGGGCACCAGTCCTCACAAACATCATGCTCCTCAACAAACGCCCAATTCAGTTTCTTCTCCAGAGTGGCCACCCACGAGGAGACAGTACCGGCCCTGTTTTGGACAACAAAGCATCAGCGCCTCCAAAACTCGGTGAATTGGCATCTAGTTTATGTAAGGCCAGGATCCGTTCTCCAACCTTAGATCCGTTGTGAGGGAGCTGACAAAATCTAGACTTGCAAAGCTGACGACCCTGTCTGAGCACTAGCAATCCCCCAGGGTTACCCCAGACGAAGAGGTACCCACGCGGCGCTCCTACTCTGACATTCCTCCCAGCTCAGCAAGGCCTAAGACAGTGGGCTTCAACTCTGGCTGATTATCATATTCGCCTGATGAGACTTTAAAAAGTTATGGGCGCCATCCCAAACCCTCCGAAACAGAATCGAGGCGGGGGGGGGGGTGTCCTGACACAGCCTGACGGCGACGAAAGCATAATTCGCCCCATACTCCTCAGGTTTAACATCTGCAGTCAGTATAGCGCTCCCAACAAGTTTCCCACGCGGCAGTCCGCCCTAATGTCTGTCGCCACAGCCCTAAACATTCCGCAATACAACCCCTAGGGCCCAGGAGGGCCCGGGAAACCCGCGCCCGCGAAAGTGTTCTCCCGCGAGACCACGCCCTCCGGCCCCACCCCCCTTTTCCGCTCCCCGATTGGCTGAAATCCACGGCGGCACCAGGAGTTTCCTTGGCTTCCCTCTCTCGCGGGGTTCCTTGCTCCTTGCAAAGGCGCGATCTGGAACGGCTCTTTCTACCAGCCAGTCATTTCCGCCAGCCTATCATAACCCATTTCTTTCACATTCTCTTCTCCTTCTTCCGCCCACTGTATCACAGGTCCCCTACAATAGTTAATTATGCTAGTTAGGGACACTCCGGCCCTTCAGACTGCGCACGCTCAGTCACGTACGTCGGGGGCGCAGGCGCAGTAGCGTGAGCACCCGGGCGGTCGCTAAGCACGTGGGCTAGGCTATCCGTTTGGCCGCACAGGAAGTGGAACCTCGGTTTTGGCAGTGTCCATCGTGGGCAGCAGACTAATAAAGGCCATGGCGCCGGCAGGAATCCTGAACGGGAAGGTGGTCTCCGCGTAAGCACCTGTCGTTGGTCGTGCGTGTTGGGCTTCAGGCGAGGGTTCTGAGCGGAGCGTGCAAGTCCCCACGGACCCTTTTTTTGTGGGAGGGGACGTTTGTGGAGGAAAGAGTCTGGCGAGCTGGGCGGGGAGGGAGGATGTTGACATGAGACCATCTTGCCTGGAGATCGGTCCCCTGCGGCGGAAGAAAGGGGTCCCGGATACAATTTGCGTTTGCATGTGGGCTTCCTGATGGCTGTGCCCCTTGGCTCCTGTGCTTCTGGGGCAACAAGTCTGCTTACCCTACCCGACCATGCTCCCAAAAGTGCAGCTGCCGGCGTCTTTCTGCCCAGAAGAGTTAGGGCTGCCTGGAGCGCCACAGTCAGAACTCAGAAATCCAGTCCACCCTCTTCTCCCTTCCACTACAATTTGGAGGTGAGGAGACTTGAAAGGTTGCAAGGCTTATTAGTGACAAATGGTCAACAAGAACCTAGATCTTGGTCCAGTCCTTACTTTTTCCCACTACATCAGAGTCATATCATTACGTGGAACCCTATAAACTTTTCCTTTCTCTTCAATCGCATGCTCTCCTCTGTTGTCATCTCTGAATGCTCTCATCTCCTTTCCTGGTCCTAGAATCACTTTGTAGTTTGGTTTCTGAGTCTGGACGAAATTCTGCATTCAGTTGACCTCTGTGTTTCACCCCTGAGGGAGATCTGAGACCATAACTAGAGGATCTGGTTGCCAAACTTAGCCCAGAAAGCAACACCCATTGGTTTTTTGTCTGGGAGGTGACTGGTGAGGAACGATGAGGGTAGGACTAGGACGCAAGTGGAAAGGACATATTCTGTGACCTTCCTGGAGATCGCTCTTGAGATCTTTGACCTCACCAGTTGTTTGATAAATGCTGTGGCTGGCAACAGTAATAGTCCTAGGAGCCCCTAGTTGTATAAGTAGGGGTTTTTGAATGAATTAGAGTCATTGGTGGTACCTACTCTAGGGCAGAATCGTTGCCTCCTGGAAGGTAGGTCATAGAGTTGTTTGGAGGATTAAATGAGTTCTTAACTGAAAAACACTTAGAATTGTGTCTGGCACCAATAAGTGTTCAGTAAATATTAGCTATATAAATGATCAGTAATTGGTTGATGATTACATGAATGATTGATTTACTGCTTTTTTCTCCTCCGTCTTTATTACTTTTTGTCGATAATAGCTACTTTGATCTATTTCATTGGCTCTCAACACTAGTTGCACATTAAAATCACTTAGGGAGGTCTTTGCTTTTATTTCTTTTTATGTAAATATGAGTACATACAGAAAAGTGCACCTATCATAAGTATACAGCTCAATGAATTTTTCACAACTGAACCCACTCATGAAACTAGCCCCCAGATCAAGAAAGGGCATTATTAGTACTCCAGAAGGTGGTTCTTACAGACTGAGCAGATTGGGCTGCAGGTGAGGTTTCCGGACAGAGCGTCCCCACCTTTTCTCTTTTACTAGGCTGAGGATACTTTTGAGTGGAAAGGTACACAAGCTTACACTTGCAGCCAGGGATCTTGAAGCCTGGGGAAAGGGTCCTTCATTCTCCTAGTTTGCAGGTCAGCTTGCTTGGTTGCTACCATCTGTTTGGCCTCTCTAGGGACAAATTTGCAAGCCTTGAAGTGCCCTGGGAAGTTTCTTTCCCTTGATTAATCATGTTACCGAAATGAAGTACTTGAAGTATAAAAATCTTTTGGGGAGAGGAAGATTGGGCTAGGTCATGAGTCCCAGTCAGAATTTCTCTAAAATCCAGTTCATGCTCATATACCGTCTTGCAGATGAGAAAACAGTTGAGGCCAGAAAATTCTAAATAGAAGAATTAAAGTAGTACTCATTGTAAAACTGACCGATGGGCAAAGATTGACAAAGCCTGCCGGTATTATGGTGGCAAGGGTTCCCCATTGAATGCACAGCCTACCAGGCATCTTTGACCTCCAAACCAAACCCGCTGCCGTAAAGTCTATTGCGACTCATAGGGACCCTATAGGACAGAGTAGAACTGTCCCCTAGGGTTTCCAAGGCTGTAAATCTTTGCGAAAGCAGACTGCCCTGCCACATCTTTCTCCTCCAGAGCGACTAGTGGGTTCGAATTGCGGACCTTTCGTTGAGCAGCTGAGCCTTTTAACCACTGCACCACCAGTGCTTCTTCCTTTGACCTCACCAGTTATTAGATGACTAAGCGGAACCTGCGTAGAAGAGCGTGAGTGAGTTAAACTGATATTGGTGGTGAAACCCCACCCTGGGCACGGGGATAGTGAGTGTCCTTGAAGAGATTGTACAAAGGAGAAGGGAGCTTTAAACTACATAGTGTTGGAAGAACCACTTGATTTGATGGAATCTAATGTTTTTAGGCTAGAAACCACAATACTTAATATGTACATGCTTTTCAAAGTGGGGCCTACTAAATATTGCATGATTTTGTTTGACCCTCCCTTCCCTTTGCTATAATCAAGTCTGTTCTCTGCATAGGTGGTATTTTTCTTGATTAAGTCTTTCTAGAAGGACTGATTGTAAAGTGACAGATGGTTTGCCACTGAGCAGGGCGCTGAGAGTAGGTGCCTTGAGTTTTTGTTGGTTGAGTTTGAGTAAGTTGAATTTGTAAGTTCCCCAGATCTTAGAAAGAGTGCTGCCCCCTCTCTGAATCATTGGGTAATTTAGTTTACTTCTTTGTGCGTTAGTTTCCTCATCTGTATATTGCAGTAATAATAGCACCTAACTCATAAAGTTGTTAGAATTAAATGTGGTATTACTTGTAAAGCATTTAGAACCATCCCTGGCAAACAGTAAGTCGTAATAAATAGGTGCTTAGAAAGTGCTTGTTGAATAAACAAATGATGTTTGTGTTTATCCAGGCTGTATCTTTGGAAGTTGGCTGATAATCTTGAGCGTTAAAATTAGTATTTATCTTAGTGATCCAAGGTAAAGCTGGAACAATGGCTGTACCTTTAGCTGCAACACTAGAAGAAGGGTTTCTGTAAAAAGAATTTGCTCACCACCCGGGTTCGATTCCCAGCCAATGCACCTCAAGCACAGCCACCACCCATCTGTCAGTGAAGGCTTGCATGTTGCTGTAATGCTGAACAGGTTTCAGTGAAGCTTCCAGACTAAGATGGACTAGAAAGAAAGGCCTGGCAGTCTACTTCTGAAAATCAGCCAGTGAAAAACCCTATGGCTCATAATGATCTGATCCTATTGTGCATGGAGTTGCCATGAATCAGGGGTGAATTCATTGGCAGCTAACAACCACCACAGTAAAGGGCTGGGTTCTTGTAGATGAAATACCTGTGGGCCCTTTTGTACTTAAGAAGATTTGCTGGTAATGAGCTCCATACAGCAGCAGGTCTTTCAAAATAAAGTTACATGGAACCTTGAACTTCATAACTAACTCAAGTTAGCTAGACTTTGGAGCCTGTGCAGAAGGCTGGTGGGTTTCTGAGAAGTGGGACCTCCCTCTAGGTCTGAAATAGGCCACCAGCCAGGTTGTTGGGTGTGTTGCAGTTGGAGTGTGACAGAGTCTTGAGTGGGCAGCTGACTAGGGTCATCATGGCACTAGTGAAAATCCTGACTGGGGACATGGTCCACAAGTTAGTGTTTGTTCTCACCTATCAGGCAGATTGGAATCAGGCAGTTTGGCGGCTCGGAACAGGGGTATGTGGTCAGTCTTCTACTGTATCCCCTTTTGGGTGAGGGATCCTCTGGAAGAAGGGACTGGCCAAGGAGAGGGTCCCTGGAGCTGAGGGAAAGGGCTCCCCTATCCTCAGGCTGACTCCTGGTAGAGGCTGTGTACGGTAGAGGTTCAAAACCAGAAACCAAACCTGTTGCCGTTGCGTTGATTCTGACTCAGAGCCAGCGCACTTATGGTGACCTCACATGTTTCAGAGTAGAACTGCTTGATAGAGTTTCCTTGAATGTAATCTTTATGGAAGCAGATCTCTGGGCCTTTCTTTCACAGCACCACCGAGTGGGTTTGAACTGCCAACCTTTCAGTTAGTAGTCAAGTGCAAACTATTTGCACCACCCAGGGACAAGGGGCACATATTGCTTGTGAGGCCTTGGGCAGATTTGTCAGCCTCACTGTCCTGTGCAGTGGGGATGGTGATAACAGTGTCTGCCTGCCAAGGTTGCTGGGAGGATTAAAAGAGTCTTGTATAAGGCTCTCAGACCAAGTCCCCTGACATCTCACCCACAGAGCAGAAGGCCCTGTTGACCCTGAGCTGTGCAGTGTGCTCCCCTTGATAATTTCCCAAAAAGCAGCACCTGGCACATCCTGTAAATCCTTGACCTTGAAGGATTAGGTGGCTAAGGGGGACAAGTCAGGATTCCTCGGCCACCCAGTTCACCCTTGCCTCCATTTGCAGTTCATAGAACTTTAGCCAGAAGTGGAATGACTTGTCCAACGATTGTAAGGCTAGTGGCAGAGTCTCAACAGTGTTTTTCCTTCCTTCCCAGGGCTTGTCACTTACTCGCTCACTAAAAGGAATTGCAAACTTTTATCCCCCACCAAGGGTCATCCTGGCTTTGGCTCTCCCTGAGGCCTTTACACAGGAGATGAATCAGCCAGTCAGTCTGTTTGGGAAGTACCCAAAGTGAAGCTCTTCAGAAAGTCATGTTCAAAGTTATAGTCTGATTTTTTACTACTTGGAGACAAGTCAGGGAGTCCCTGGATAGTGCAGTTACTATGCAAGTTGGCTACTAACTGAAAGGTTGGCGGTTCAGAACCACCCAGAGGCGCCTCAGGAGAAAGGCAGTCTGTTTCCATAAAGATTACAGCTAAGGAAACCCTACGGAGCATAGTTTTACTCTGCAGCACATGGGATCGCCATGAGTTGGAATCAACTCCATGGCAACTGGTTTGGTTTTTTTTTTTTTTGAAGACAAGTCAGGCCGTCTTGTTTTGTTGTCTAAGCTTTTTGTTTCCTTGATGAAAAGTTCTTCCCCTGAAGCCTGGGCGGGAGAGGTGCAGCGTTGGGTTGTTGATGCTTAATGAGTGTCAAGAGCTAAGAGAGCATTTTCTGAAAAAGGATTTGCCAGAGCCTGTCAGGCGCTTATTTTTACTGCCTTGCTGCACCTAACATGATAAATGATCTTTGGGTTTGATGCCGAAATGCTAATTTAGTAAGCAGCCTTTTAGGCCTAAGTCCTTTCTACCTAATGTTTTCCCTTGTTGTTGTTAGTTGCCATCGAGTCAATTCCGACTCATGGTGACCTCGTGTGTGCAGAGTAGAACTGCTCCATAGGGTTTTCAAGGCTGTGACCTTTCAGAAGCAGATCGCCAGGCCTGTCTTCCAGGTGCCTCTGGGTTAGTAGTCAGAGCATTTAACTGTTTGCACCACCCACTCTTCTCTAAAAGCAGAAAAGCCAGGTCTTTGTGGGACTTTTTCAGATAAGAGCCC